CCCGGCAGGGCAGCAGGACAGAAGAGGTGTCCCAACCTCGATTTCTCTCTCTGCTTCTCCCCCAGGATGCCCTGGTCGAGACTATTCCCTCGTGCATCTCCGATGACCGCCCTGCGCTCTATGATCCTATCGTGCCTTGGTCTTTCTTGGGCCTGAGACTGTACTTGCCTTCACAACTTGCTGGCAACGTGCAAGAGCCCTGCGTTGCCCGTCCTTCAGGTGGCTGGGGAATTTCTCATGCTGAAGCACTTGGCAAGCAATGGCAAGGCTGAGCCTGATGCTCATCTGAAGCGCTCGAAGGGCGCTGCTCAATGATGCCATCTGGAAGCTGCGGATAATGCTGCGATGATGTCGTTCGTGGCTGTGGCCATTGCATCTCGAGCAGTCGCGCATTCCTGTGAGTACCCAGTGCACAAACATGCACGCAGCAGCTCTAAGCTACGACGTGCATTGTCTGCCTCAGTGTGCAAGACAGGCATGTCTCTCGTGTTCAGTTCAGCAATCGTTTCGTGTCTGATGACTGGTGTCCAGAGATGTTTGGCGTCTATGCTTTCTGTGCTCGTTGGATATCCACCAGCATGTTGGGTATGGGACACCGGGTACCGATTGTCGCCGTTAGTGTCTCACCGAAGCTTCTGTCACGATCTCGGCTGTTGATTTGCACAGCCAGACGCCAGCGGAAGTTTTTTGTTAGTTGTTCCGACGTCAACCCACGCGTACATCAAACCGTAAGGCGAGCTGCCAAAGACACACAACTCTGGTCAGCCTTACCCGATGCATCAACTCCGACCGCCTCTTGCTCTACCGTACTTTCCATGTTTTTTTCACCTTTCGCATTATGCTTGCAATGCTGGTTGCGACATGAGGCTGCTTCCAGTTGGCAAGTGCAACTTGTCGGTAAGAAGAGGCCAGCTAGCACCTGTAGTCTTTTGTGCTTGAGTTTGCCAGAACACTGTCTTGAAGTTTGAGCGCTGTTGTCGCCTTCGACTAGCAGGTGGACTTTGTGCCCGAATACTGAGTCCCAGCTCCTTCACACAGAGCTGGACACGTGCTCCGGCCATTCTGGTACCGTGCGAGAACTGGGTGGCCAGAGGTTGCTCCCAGACTCCCCCAAGGTACAATCCTGACTATTCCAAGTTTCCGCGTTTTGCGCAAGCCGTTTGTGGACAGGCCATCGACGGGGAACGGTGCAGAAACGCTTGTTTGAGTTGTTGCACTGACTGTTCAGGTAACTGTATCCCCAGGTGTCTGGCCGACATGCTTTTGCGATGCTTCATGCAGCCCGTGCCGGGGGCGGTGGCCCACTCACATCACATGGTCATCACGCACGCCAGGAGCTTCTATATTATCCAGCGTACTGGTGGCACCATACTCTTCAGGCTGGTCCGGCACTCGCTCTCGTGCGACAGCGGCTATCGATGACGATCTTGGTGACCAGCGATCCTTGCGGGTTTCGGGTCATCAGGGAAGCTGGAAAGATCAGACAACTGCAGCGACGTAGTGCGCTGCGTGTGGCACTTGCCGACCGCCGTTCCTGAAGCCAGGATGGCGGAAATGATCGTTGCACTTGCCGATCAGGGGCTAGCATGGTTCACGGTTTTGTTTTTTGGTTCTACCAGTGTTTGGCAAGCTGCCGGTGTGCCAGCATGCTGCTGTTGTTTGCTGTTGAAGTGTCAGAGTGACATACCATTGTTTTGTCTTGCTGCTTGAGCAGGCATATTTGGGAACAGCGTCGTTGATCGTTCTGCCATGTGCTTGCTCCGGCCGGTGTTCTCGTACCACTAAGCTAAAATTTAGCTTGCAGCCGGGAGCTTCGAGCTCCCCACCCCTTGCGCTCACCGGCCGCTCCTTTGAGTAAACGCTGTAACCTGCACTGCAGCAGGAACGGGGGGAGACCTGTAAAAGCAACCGGGTGGGCTTGCAACAGGCTCTAACACATGCCTTGCACTCGCCTATGATTATTCACTTGATTGGCAAGCCATAGTCTTGCAGCAAACACCATAAGACACTTTGGTTTTGTTCGGATTACGAATTTTTTTGAATAAAACATTTGTTCTTTTCAAAGCTTAACGGTTTTAGGGTTCAGGGTGGATCAGGGTTTAGGGTTTAGGGTATACGGGGAAAGGGTTTGGGGTGTAGGGGAGAGGGGGTTTTGTCCGAATAGAGGAAAGTAGAGCTTTCACGATAGAGAATTAATTGGTGTTGAATCGATGAGTTTTGAACGGGGGTGGATTTCCGGGTTTAGGGTTGAGAGTTCAGGCTTTGGGGAGGGGAAAGGAAGAGGAGGGGAAAGAAAGGGAGAGGAAAGGTTTTTGTCTTAGGGTTTAGGGTCTAAGGGTTAGGGGCTTTGGGTTTAGGGTTGAGGTTTAAAGGTCTAGGGTTTGATCTTCTAAAACGTTCTTAAGGGCTATGGCTAAGGATTTCAAAAGTGGTCTCAAAATTTATAAAGTCCCTGTGCTTTGGGCTTCTGAGGGTTTACAGTCAGGGCTTGTAAGGCTTTGGAAGGGCTTATAAAAGGCTTACACCGGTGCCCTTGTCAGCCTCAGGATATTATTCGGGTTGCATGGGGTGTTTGAAGGCTTCTGAGGGTTTATAAGTGCTTATGCAAGGCTTGCAAGGGCTGTATAAGGGCTTTGAAGGAATTGTTTCATAATGGGGTTTCTTAAAGTCTCAATCCAAAACCCGGTTTCGGTTTTGTTGTCCGGCTGGTTTCTGTTGCAACGCCCACTGATTGCAGTTACTAGCCCCAACCCAGTTCCCGTTCCTGGTTCCTGTTACGTCCTGGTCGGTTCCTAAAATGTGGTTCCCGTTACGTTGCGTGCTGGTTCCTGTTACAACCCTCACTGTGCTCCTGTACCAAGAGCTCAGTCGCGGGGGTCTCGCGAACGGCCGTACCGGGACCAGAAAGAGTCGGAACTGGCTTCATGTGCGGTCGGGAAGTTCCTTCATGTTTCTAGTCACGAAAGCTAGCTCCTTGGAGCTTGCGAGAGTTCTTGTTTACAATCTTTTTGTTGGGGAGGAAGCAGCCCGGCGAGGTCCTTTTGCCTGATATATCAAGGACTTTTAGGGTCGCCCCGGGGGGGGTGCCCCGCCCCCTTTCCTCGATATTTCAGACGCTGGCCGTTTCGATAAGGGGGGGGAGGGCCCCCCACCCCTCCCCCCCTCCTCAAGGCCCCGCCCGCCCCTCCCGAAGGCCCCCTGCGAGTTGAGCTCATGTGATTGCTGTTTTTGGTGTCTTGCAGCATGCTTGGTACTTTCTACTGCAAGCTTTGGCTTATCCATCAGTATCAGATTGCAGTCCATCATTGCACTCAGCACCAGTACTAGATTGCAGTTGCAGATCGTCTCTCTGCCTTCTTGTTCCTCGGACTTCAACTCCTTGTCCCTAGCTTTCGTCCGCCCTGCTCTCAAGTTTCCATGTAGGAAAAGGAGCCTGTTGCTCTTATGTCGTCTGACTGTGTGAGCTTGTTGTTCAGTGACAATGACGCTCGCCACCCTGTTCAGTTGGAGAGCCCGAGCATATCCTACACTGGAGCGCTGGTTGGTGTTGAAGCTGACCGATCAGATCTTGGGGCTGACAGGTAGGGGTTTGGCATGTCTTTAAGTATTTGAGGGCTGTACCGCTGGTAGATGCTGTTAGTTGCATTGCTGCAGGAAGCCGCACATGCGATTTTATGCAGATTTGCAGGAAAAGTGTCCTGTCCTAAGATGCCAAGGGAGCCTTATGATGTATTGGGAGTGGCTTCAGCAAAGTCTACTTACCCAAGTCTGAACACAGGTGCAAGATGCTGGAAGAAAGGTGTCAGCCAGAGGCCGCACAGTTGTGGCATCTACCACTCGAAGATGCAAGGGCAAAGGTGAAACTGCCGGCTGCAAAAGTTGCAAGGCAGTGTGATGACATATCGGTGAAGTGGGCAGGGGTGCTGCCGGCGTCGTTGAGACAAGCGGTTCGTTCTTGCTGAGAATACCTTGTGAAGAAGGCGGCGCCGCCCCCGCTCCGATCTGTATGTGACGAATATCTCCCGAAGTGCGTGCGACTAAGACTTTGCCGGATTCTGCGCGAAGCAGCCGGGCCTCGCCAAGCTGAGGTTTGGAGCTTTGGTCAGCGCACGCTCAAGAGCTGCATGGTGCTGCTGACTTTGCTTGTATTTGCTCAGAGTACTCATGTCACCGTTGGTAGTGTTGTGCTTGCCGCATGCTCGCAGGACGAGGCAGAAAAAGTTCGGAGCGCGCAGACGAGCTCTGACTGTGGAGCAAAAGGGGTGGTCCAAAGCTGGCACCTTTCTCAGAACGTCGAGGCTTAGGAAATTGTCAGAACATCGAAGCGTAGGAAGCAACAGTGCAAGACCGCAGTGTTGATGAAAGCCCCGCAGCCTGAGCCTCGCGATGTTAATGACTTTACCTGCGCCCACGCCCATGGTCTTGACTTGCTGTTCGATTGCACAAAGGTGCTACAGGCTCGAAAGGGCATGTAAGCAAGACATGTTGCTTCTGCAAGCCTCTGCATATGCACCACTTGCGGTGATGCAGTGGATCAAAGAGCGCAAGGGCAAGGGCTTGGTGAAGCCAAGGCAACCTGCAGGCAGGAGACGGTTAAACGGCAGGGCTTGTTGCTGGCTAATTTTACAATGATCCCTAAGCCCAGAGGCCGCCTATGGCTCTTCTACTTCAGCCGGGCTACAGTCGGAATCTCAGAGCTCCACACGGGCCTTCGTTTATGTTGACAGACATGTCAAAGCACACCGAGTTTTGGAAGGAGTGGCTTGTTATTTACAGATCGCACGCGAGACTCCGAAATGACATCCCCTATGTCGGAAAGTCTTTGCAATGAAAGCAATGTCAAAGAAGCTTTGTGTACGTGAAGTGTTTCAATGATCGCGGTACCCAGCAGGCAGACGTCCCGTCAGGCGAGCATGGGCCAGTGCCTGAGCGAGTCAAGCCTCGCTACACGGCGCGCGAGCGTGGCCGCGTGTCGTGAGGTCATCGAGGCGGCTCTCCTGATGGTGCCTTCCTCGGCTTGGCCAGCGCCATAGTGCAGATCAGGGTCGCGAGACCAGGCAGCTGCACTGCTCATCCTGGGAGCTGCACCGGAGGTGCATGCTGCCATGCGCTGCCATGCGGCCACTCTTTGTGCATGGTGCCGCCTTGACAGGCCCCGGCCTTCGTCCAGCCCGCCTCCACTGGATCGTCTGCGAAGACCGTGCAGGCCTGTGTTCTCAAGGGTGTTCGCGCCTTCTCCAGACTCCAGACCCAGACTGTTCTCGAAGCGTTCCTGCCTAGGGCCTGGGCCTGCAGAGCTGGTCACCTCAAGCCTCGCACGGCCGCACATTGACCTAGACACGGCGAGAAGGGTCCTTGCCCTCATGGCAGGCCGACTCCTGCTGTCCGTGGGTCATCGTCCTGCGTGCCGGGACCCGAACTGACAGCCGTGGCTATACAGGCTCTTCATGTTGAGCTCTGACCCAGGTTTGGTGTGGCCGGCTTCAGCCTTTTGCTGACCTACGCCATCTTGCGCCAGCAGGCGCCACGGGGCACTGGCCAGCACAGCTCGAGCCACTGTTCGAGTTCCACAGCTCGTCTGGCAGGCGCAGGCTTCCGCTCGTGTCGCGCAGCCACGGGTGGTGCTGGCAGCCACCCGGCTCCATGGATTCCCCGAGTAATGTGCATTCTCCTCTTTGTGTTTGCTATACGTATATGCTTCTCCTGGAAGTGTAGGGCCTGTATGAAGTTTCGATCTCGTGTCGTTTCTTGACATACCCAGGCCGTGCCAAGCGAGATGACCTCGGTGAGGCACGACTTGAGCAGATTTGCCAGAGATCCAAAGTGGAGGGACGGATGACTGAGGTCACCGGCTCCTTGCAACTCTGAGCCAAAACCGGAGTTGTCCTTGCCCTCTCCATCAGTGCTTGTCCTTAGCTCGCAGGGTGATCATGAGTCGGGCTTCCGATTGTTTGTTGATCTGGTAGCAAGGTCTGCGCCAAAGAGACGCTGATGGACGAAGACGTTGTTTGCGAGGAGCGGTGGCAACTCGAGCTGGCACCGCGGGTGCAGCTCTTGCTAAAGCGCTTTGCGAGGAAGTGGCAAGCGTCAAGTCACCAGTACCGGCATATTCGCCGACGCCAGTGGCAAGACTTGCTTCAGCTGCAATGAATGCCAGCAGCCCATCTTGCAGCCGGATTCATGACCGGCAGCTTGAGATTATACCAAGGCATCGACAGAATCAACCTCGGATGGGTGCGGCTCTAAACTTCCTGCAGTCCTCTTCCACTAGCCTGATGGCAGCTTCCTTGAGACTCAGCTGAGGCCGTCGTCAGTCCCAGGGCGTCAGGCTGAGAGACAGTCTTTGCTGCAGGTCCAGCAAGCGCTTTTGCTCTGTGCGGTGGAGGCTCGCTTCGTGGGTGGAGCACGCCGGACGGCGCGCCATTCCACAAGCCGCCGACCTGCGCCAAGGACGACGTGCCTGATGCTGAGAGGGTCTGAAGAGAACGGGTGCAGATGCTTCATTCGATTTCATGCGCATCGCAGCATCGAGAACCAGGCCGTGCCAGCGTGAAGCTGATATCCACAGCGACTGCCATTCTCCCAGATCAGAGGCCTGTCGTAGCACGGCCTGGTTTTTCGCTGTACTTAGGTGATCTCGCCGCCGCCATCGTTTGATGTCACCAGACTTCGCTTGAAGATTCAAACAGGCGAAAGTTTGCACTTTGTGCACGATGCTGGGTCCACTGCCTTGAGTTTGTCATTTTAGAAATGAGATGTAGGGTGTTAGTGTCTAGAGACGTCTTGATCACTTCATCATTTCTGCTTCACCCTCACCTGTTTTCGTTTCTCTTTGCCCGACTTGGTCCATGGTTGTGAAGGGTGGTGACCAGGCTTGAGCGTCACCTCGAGTGTGAGCTCGCAACGTGTTCGAAAATCCCGTACTCCCGCGGCAGGGATCCAAGTCGTTGCCAGTTCCACAGTGGGATCTCCGTGCAGTCGCTGACTTCAGCTCGTGCCAGGCCAACAAGGGCACTTGCATCAACACGGATTCCCGTCTTCAAGAAAAAGATCTAGGAGAACACATCCCAACATCAGGCCCGGCCTGCGAGTCTGCAGACTGAGCTTCTCGCGCTTTCTCTGCAGGAGATTTCAACATCATTTGCTGACAGTTGGTGCCTCGTCTCTATCATGGCCGTGTGGTCAGAAACCTTCGCTTCATCTTGTTTCTATGTTCCTGCACATCTCAGCTAACGGTGTTTTTGAAGCGTGCATGTCCATCGTCAAGAGTGTCGGCACATTGACAAGGTGCTCTGCGCAAGAGTTCCAGCGCAATGTCAAGGGGCTTCAGCCACATAATGCCACAAAATCCTAGCTAACGTAGATGTAGTAGATCAGGTTGGATACTAATCGATGTGGCTGGAGCCCTTAACAGCTTTGCCAATGGCCAGCGGCGACGGGCCCTCAGTCGATGCTAGTGCTGTGCGAGTCTGCCGCTGCTTCAAAGAACACCGAGGAGTTTGCCGATGTACTCCCGGGAGCTTAGCAGCGGACTCAGACTGGCTCGGGCGGTCAACCTTAACAGGGCTATGTTTCCCAGGCTTGGGGCTACTGCGGTGGATCCCGAACTGCACAAAGGGCTCCCCAGATGGGCGCGCTGCCTAGATCTCTCGGAATCGAAAGTGTGTTGGCTGTCACAAGTGCGTGAGAGAGCACTGCGTAGCCTTTGAGGTTTACATGGACAGCTCTGCTGGAGATATGATTCGTTGATGCTCTAAGTAGAGGTGGGTGATGTCTCAGTACTTTTTCAGATCTGTTCAGATTTGGGTTAAGAGTCAAAGCTCCGCACGGTTGCTACATGCCCGCCTACAAACTTTGACGGGCTCTGGACGAGTTCCGTCGTGAGAGACTGGCTGCTTGCTACCGGGCCCTACATCTCAAAGTTTACTTCATTTGCCGCAACTGCTGTTGCACAGCCGCCTGTTCGACACTAAAATTGCGAAGCAGGCCTGGCAAGAAGCCACACTTTCAAGGCTTTTTGCAGGCACTTCGTTTCGCTGCATGCTCTGTGATCTAGCAGCCAAGGTTTGTTGGGGTCTGACTATCTCTGAAGAAGCTTTCTTTGTGAGCGAAGCGAAGCGAAGCTGGACGCTTCTGAGGGCTGCCACTGGTACTTTAGTTGTTGGATCCACACAGATCAGCAGAATCGGCAGGAGGCTGCAGAGAGCCCGCTCTGTGGGCTCTTTACAGTGCCAGCTGAGGTGAAGGAGAGTCACAGACTGCGTCGGAAGAGAGACCACGATGCTTGTTGTGCCGCACGATTCTGGAGATCTCAGACTATGCCGATGCCATGGCTTGGCGCAGGTCAGCATGCACGATTTGTCGTCGGGCGAGGCGGGATGCGCTCAGCCAGGGCGCGCCCGCAGCCTTCGAACTTGTCTCAGAGGATGGTGCTTTTCTCGAAACGCTCTTGAGAAGGCGCCCGGATCCTCAGAGGTCGCGTTGAAGTTCGGGCTTAGAGTTTAATTGGGATCAAAGAAGCAACGCCACGGGAAGCAGAGGTCCCAACGTCTTCATCAAGGTTTGTGAGAAAGCTCTTCAGGAGCCGCAGAGTCAGCTGGATTTCGCCGCACAGTCAGTGCCTGCCTAGTGCGGCTGCCAGGAGATGTGCAAGGAGCTTGAGCTGCAGAAGGATCCCTCGCGGAAGGTCGCTGCTAGGGGACATAATAGGGCAATATAAGGCATGAGGGGACATGGCATGGTCCGCGCAGAGACGAGTGTTTCTTGCTCCTGCACCCTTTGTTTGTTACAGGCTCCTATTCAGCAGTTGAACATTGCGGTAAACACCAACTTGGACGGTCACGTGCTTAGATGGAACGCTTGACATGGTCTGACCTTTCGGACGTGGACATGCTTGTGATAATTCTGGTAAGCTCTTTTCGTGAACTTTGACATACAGTAGGTTCCCAAACCATGCCTCTAAGTTGTGGTAGTCCCCCATGTTCGTGCGCCGAGGCACGGCTGGCACACAGAAGCCCAAACTGCGGGTTCCTGAGAGCCACAGTCCACTGCAGTACTTCTTTCTTTGTTCTGAGATGTGCCTCAGGATCCGCGAGCTGAGACATGACCAGGTTGGGGCAAGCTCCACGAAGCCACTTATGCTGTGTAGGTTTGGATGTTTTCAAGAATAGGACGGTAGATGTGAGATCAATGTCGCTACTGTACAGAAAGACTGGTAAGTTTGAGTTTCCTATTGGCGCATCCGTGAATATGCCGGCATGTTATTGGGAAGTACAACGGTGATGTGAAGCGTTCGATCAATCCTTCGGGATTCTCGTGGGTGAAGCACGGAGTCTGCCAAAGGGAGTGCCATGCGGTTTCCACCGAAACGTAAGCCGGGATTGAGCAGAACGAGCTAGGCTCCCTGTTCGGACGTTTCAGGCCCAGGGGCTGCTTTTGGAATCTTTTGTGGGACCGCGGCCTATGCAAGAAACTAGACCGACAGGTTTCCATTCCAGGTGCCTGCCTGTGGCAAAGCAGTGAGAGCATCTTAGTGAATCTCAGTTCGAAGCAGGTGGAGAAGCTCGTCGTCATTCAGGGCATCTGCACGGCTGTTCGAACTCCGAGGAGCAAGGCGTGGAGTTTTACTTCCGAAGGCGCTTTTCGCAAAAGCCAGAAAAGCAGCCTCAGGTCCGAAGGGTCGTCTTGAGGTGCACCAACTGCGAGAATGTCGAAGAGGCACTGGCAACCAGAAACAGTTCAAGCTCCAGTTGCCGGTCCTGTAAGGTCTATATCGAAGGCGGCTTCACAGCTGCCCACATTCCTGCTGCTTGCAAAGGGAACGCTCTCCGTGCAGGGCGAAGCGCTCAGAAGCTGCCGTTCAATAGCCCAACACGTACTATCGTCGTCACCGGTACTTCTGCCGGGTTTTGATTTCTGCGCAGACAGAACCAAAGATGCCTATATAGCGCTATGATCAGCCACTCTCTGCAATGTGTTTCTTGAAGGCATGAGATGTTGATCCTCATCTACTTTGACTGTATGTGGTTATCTGGAAGTGCAAACTAAAGTGATGATATGGCTAGGAAAGTGAAGAGCAAAGTAGTGCTCTGGATGAGGAATCTGGAAAGATGTCCGCCCAACTCCTTCGCAGTGCCGGCATGTTTTCGACGAAACTTGCGCCGCCTCTGAGCTTTCTGTCGCCAGCTTCGAAGGTGGCTGACGCTTCGCTCAGCGAGTACGCCGCGGATCAGAGGGTGCGTTTGCAGGAGCTCCCGGAACACGTGAGCCTCCTGTGCACTGCGTTTATTTGCCGCTCAGTACTGGCTCAGTGCGGCACAGAGGGCGATGGCAGGTACCGGTGGGAGAGATGCCCCGATCCATCGATCTCTGTGCGCAGATGTGCGCTGCAGTGTCAGAGCTTCAACTGCGCGGTAACACATCCGTAGCTGACTCCTGACGATCGGGCATGTGAATCTCAGTCTCCAGGTTGGGCTGTCTTCATGTGCAAAGGTTGAGGATAGCACAGTGCGGAGGCAAAGGAGCAGGGCCGTGTAACGGAACGAGTGAGGGATGAACGCATGACATCTGTGCCTGTAGCTGCTCTTGAAAGGACTCGTATCCGAAGTCCCTGAGCCAAAGGTACGATGTGGACTTGTGCACGCCTGGAACACGTCTCACTTGCGTCGGTCCCCTCCTGAGAGCAGCTCTTGGCGTGCACTTGGAACAGGCAAGGAAGCCTCTTGGTTGCTGTGCTTCAGGTGTCTTCAATGCCTCGGAGAAGGCTGCAGGAGACAAGCTGACCAGGGGCAGGACTGCCTCAGTTCAGCCTGAGCAGAGTGAGAACATGCAAAACAGAACAGCTTGTGCAGGAATCAGGGCACCAATACGGTGAAATACTCCTATGTCCAGGCATTGCTGTTCCTGTTTCGAGATCAAGAGGTGCTGCACAACCGGCACAACCGTGCATGCCCCGATCGCAGCAGGTCCGCAGACTTGACCTGTCGCTGGTCTAACACTTCTGCGTGTTTCCCCCTTCTTGTAGTGGCACTGTTGTCTGGAAAGTCACAAAGCTTATCAACCAAGTCTTTCAATCTCTCGATAACGCTCCGTGCCGCGTTTATGCTTTTGATGCAGGTCTTGGGTTTGCAGCGGGCCCAAGGCAATCGTTCCCAGGACACCGGGCTGACATCATCGCATGACTTGCCGCCTTCCACTGCCAGAAAGTCAGGGAGCCTTGGAGATCAGTGCGGACGAAGAGGAGCGTTTCGAGCAGCTTGCCAAGGACCCGTCTTGTGAGCTTCATCTACTTGTGCTGATCGTTGTGGGATGTGCAGACCAGGATCCCGGCATCAGGGAGAAGATCTTCCAGCACGCTTCTTGGTGTGTGCGTCGTGTGTGTTTGTGTTTGCTTGAATATGTTGGTGTGGCTGGTGTTGCTAGCTGCCTGCTCCAAACGTGATCATGTCGACAGCATCGGTGCTTCTCACGTGCAAAATTTTTCAAGAGACTGGGGGGGTGCAATAAGCATCTAGCTTGTTTTGTTTCATTTTGAGATTTGTTGTTGTTTGCTCTGCTTGTTGTCTTGTGGCTCCAGCTTCGTTCGGCTTCCTTGTTCTTGGCTACGCCAAAGCTTAAACCGTAGACCCCCGCAACTCTGAACCCCTAAACCCTGAACAGCAAACCCTAAATCCTAAACCCTACCCCGAAAAACCCTAAACCCTAAAGCACTTTAAAGCTTCAAAACCTCCTCAACCCTACTCCGTCAGAAACCCTAACAAACGCTAAACTTCAACACCACACTCTAAACCCTTAGCCCAGAGCAGAAGCAACTACTACAACAAAAGCATAAGCATCTCAAATCACCGAAAAGATGCTTAGTGTGGCGCTTCAAGACACTGGTGTCCCTGTGCAACACAACGCCGCTTGAGGTCCATTGCTCCTGCCATTTGTGCCACTGAGAAGGATGTGTTGCAACGTGCTGCAACGGGTGTGGAATTCTGTATGCATTCGAAACCTTGGTACTGCGCATGCTCGATTGCTAGGACGTTGTGAACGATGTGAAGAGGGCCGTTGCTTGCAGTGGCCTTGGTGCATTGCAGGTAAGCGAGAAAGGTATGCCCAATGTGGAGCCATCGATGCGTCGAGTGGAGGCTTGCTCTTCGGCGGCTCCAGGAAGTTCCTGCCCAGCGGCAATCGCATCCGAGGCGGATTGGGCTCCGGAGAGTGTATCGCTGTTGTGTCTCTCACGTAGAGGTGACATCAATGTCTTGCTTCTTGGAGATCCTGGTACGGCAAAAAGTCAGGTGCGACAAGCATGCACAGGTATGTACAGGGTTGCAGAGAAGTGTCGCTACCTCGGGCATGGTGCAGATCCTGAAGTTCGGTGAGAAAGCAGCGCCGATTTCAGTGTTCGGTGCTGAGCCGCTTGCTAATTGTTTAAGAAAGATTGCGTACAGGCATCTCATACAGAGGTACACGAGTGGAAAGGGAAGCAGCGCTGCGGGTCTGACGGCCATCGTCTCGGAGTTCACCACTGCCCGGATCCAGCAACAGTTCTCTGCAGATAAGGCGGCAATCGTCAAGGAGAAGAACGGTTTCGCTCTTGAAGGTACAATTCCTCTGACGTTTCTGAGCATGCCTTGGCAGTGGCGTCCGAAAAGTTCCGGCTTGCCAACACAGTACGGAGGTGGAGCTATGGTTCTAGCCGACGGCGGCATTGCTTTGACCTGAGCCGGTCATGGCATTCAAAGGTTTTGAAGTGAAGGTCGTGGTCGCTGGCTGCTAGCATTTTACGGACCAGGTGTGCATCGATGAGTTCGACAAGATGGATGCCAAAGATCGTGTGGCCATCCACGAGGACGGAAAATGTTTCTACGTGCTGCATGTGCAGGGCAGCTGGAACTGCCGTTTCCTTAAGGCCATGGAGCAGCAAACCATCTCGATATCAAAAGCTGGCATTACCACGATGCCGTAGACTCAAAGAGAGCGGAGGCGCTTCTGCCGACTTGGACTCTCGTGCAACTGAGGCTCAACACTCGTTGCAGGTCCCCCGCTGCAAATCAGAGATGACCACATGTGGGGATTCTTTGGCTTTCACTTTTCACTTCCCCCTGCGCAGTGTCCTCGCCGCTGCCAATCCGCGCTTTGGTTCCTATGATGAGATGGCAGGTGCGGCTGACCAGGCCTGAACATCTGGTCACTTGCATCAGACAGTAGAGCAGGGCCTTCGTGCGCGTCTAAAGTTTGCATGCTGTGCAGATGGACTTCGAAACCACAATCCTGACGCGATTTGACATGATGTTCTTGGTCAAGGCCATACCCTTCAGTCTCCAGCACGCTGTTAGGTTTTTCTTATTTGTCGCACCTGAGCACCGTCACCCGGCGCTGCAGGATATCAGGGATGAGGAAAAGGACTACACACTCGCTATGCACCTTATCGGCTTGCACAACGAGGGCAAGCAGGAGGACCCCAGACGTCACTTCATTCATATTTACTGATTCTGGTGTTGACCCTGCGGAAGGAGAGCAAGGCACCCTTCTCCGTGCAAGACTTGAGGAAGTGCGCCGACGGATGACACAGCGGCTCAGGCTGCTCAGGAGTCTTTTGTCAGGTACATAGCATATTGCCGCAGCAAGTGCAGCCCACGACTGAAGCCTGAGGCTAAAGAGGCACCACCAGCCTCCAACTTCCTTGAGCTTTGCCAGCACTGCTTCTCTATGAGCAGAGCGGCAGGTTCTCATCAACCATTACCTGACCATTCGCAAAAAGATCAAGGAAAACAGTCAGGCTGCCACTGCTCCGTTCCGGAAGTCTGGAGACCGCGCTTCACATTCAGGGCCCATGCTTCGGCCCCAAGACTGTCTCAACCACGGATGGTCTAATCTAGGACATGGGCTTTGGATTCTTGAGTAACTTGTTGCAGTAGTTTCCTCTGTCTGGCAACTCCGAGTCTGGAGTCTTGAAGTACACTCTTTCGGCTCCAGGCTCTGGTTTCAGGTTTGCGTTCTCAGTTTTCTCGCTTGGCGTCTTTCAGGCGGTGGTACAGCTCGGGGTCATGTTAGTGGAACTGCAGGTGACGCACTCTTACGCACAAGCCAGAGACAGCAGACCTGTCCACAGTGCGTCTAGAAGCCAGAGCCGGTGAACCCCGTCTTGATGCAGTTTGCTCACAGGCTGTGGTGCCCATCACTGTCAGGCACATGCACCCAGAGTCTTCCAGGTCCCGAGAGATTTTTTCTGCACGGTCTCGCCAAGGCAGCTGGAAGCAATCGTGCGAATCTCGGAGAGCCTCTTGTCAGCAACACAGGGCCAGGCTGCAGCAATCGTTGTTCCAACTGCCCCTCGCTGCTGCCCAGGCCTGGCAAAGATGGAGCTGCAGCAGGACTGCACAAGGGGCATGTCGCATGGATAGTCTGCGAGGAAGTCTCATGGTGTCATAAAATGCGTGTGATAAAAACTTGATAGCTGTTGATAGCAAAGCTGGACAAAGCGAGTCTGTTACAGCCACATCCTACCTCTTCCAAGATGCTTTGATCGAGTGAAGTCCTCTTCGAGTTGATTGGTGCTGTTCAGCTGCAAGGATGCTGATATCGGTCATGTCGAAGAAGCATTGCGGATGTTCACCGTCTGCCCGGCCTGTGAATGCAAAGAGTCCATGCAAAGACTTCTGCAGAATTCGGTTAAGAATCATCTTTTGCGGTTCCGGCAAGGTGTCCACCCTGGACTCGGCGAACCCTGACGGACAGCCGCAAGCAGGCGCAGGACTCAGCGAGAAATCGGTAAAGAGATGTGGAAGCTCAATCTGTGGTTGACATGGGCCAAGGACTTGACACCATGAACGAGGACGATATGAAGGATGGGTGACGCTAGACAGGTCAAATAAAGATCAGTAGTCAGCAGCTTCGACCAAACCGTACCGAACTTTACTTGGTGAGACATTGAACACTGCGTGAAACGACAAGTGCTCGAACACTTCCTTGGAGAGAAAAGGCCGGATACACCGGAGGAATTCAAAGGCACTTTGTTGTTAAGATGCCAACTGAAAAGCCTGTTCGAGTTGGGCCACCTTACTAAGCCAATCCTGTGACACTTCCTTTTTTGTTCGTCGCGAAGTTGTTGTTGCGAAACCTTACCAACTGTTCTTTTCGGTAGTGGTTATGATGGCCACTTGCACAGCATCCCGTCACTTTCGTTTGGCTCTCGTGATGGGTGCAGGCATTGCAAGAAGCTGAAGAGGCAGTGACTCTAGCATTGGAATTCTCTTCACAATCTCTGAATGCCGCAAGATGGTAGCTTGCTTGCAGTGAGGTCATTCGTCGACTGATCCCTCATGGAGGCTGCTGCGATGCCTTTTGTGTGTCAGACTTCTCTGCCCGCTGTACGGCTCTCGCCTTATCCTCCTCTATGAAGGAAGCAGAGCCTTGTTTGGTTCCAACATGCAGCAGCCGAAGCAACGCAGCCACACAGCCACACCCCTAGCCTCCTCACGTTTCAGTTTCCCCCTCGTGTTGGTTAGCTCCCTGAATGGCCGGGCCGTGCTATGGTCGCTGAAATAGATGGTGCTGGATGGCCTCGTATAGCATCACTGCTGATACGATGCAAGATGATGCTTGGCATTGCTTTAGTTTGCTGAAGTATCATGGTTCCTCTTGTATAAGCAAGTTCATGCTTGTTTTCTGATTGTGCAGTTGCTGGAAGGCTAACACCATCTACTGCTGTGAGAGCCGCCTGTCTGCGATGTGGTTTCCCATCGCTGCGATGTGGGGCGGGGTGATGCAACTCACTGTTTTGATGTTTTTGCATTTTCCCGTAGTGCGAGAAGCCTGACCTGTCGTTGTGACATAACTACCCTGAACGGCTCAGGACATGCTGTGGCAGCGAAGCTGGAGTGCGGAAATTGCCTCCCTGCGTCACGCGATCTCGAAAAACAGCAGCCTTCTGTTTCTGGATCCTTGGACATGCTCAGGAGTTTTTTGCCCTTCCTATTTCTCTGTGATTTGGAGAGTCAGCTCCATCATGGTATCTCAGGTGCTTTTAGCAGCACAGTTCGGCTTGCAGCCGCTGCTGTCGAAGCAGCTGCTGCCACGGGGGCATCTTCCGCAAGTCTTCCTGTTGAGCTCCAACTTCTCCAAGATACTCATATCTCTTTTCATCTTGATGCTGCCAGGCTCAATAGGTGGCAGCCTTTTTTCATCGCAACAATACATGGAAGCTTTGTGCCCCTGCGGGACCAGGTTGTTGTCCAGGATTGCAAGCTGGGAGCGGTAGGAATCAGCCATCGAGTGTGCATGCATCTCTGCACCGCAAGACACGCTGGCCCTGCTTCTCAGCAGGGCCGGACAGGATTTCTCCACGCAGTGGCACTTGGGCCCTACTGCAGGCAGACTCCCCACTTCCAGCCGCACAACAGCATCCACAGAAGACACAACAAATAAGCATGATCAACAACTCATGTGTGTATTATGTGTATGCTCGCTCGCTCGCTCGCTCGCTGTGTCTCGCTCCGGTGCAACTTGCCTCACTTGGCGCACAGGACAGGACATGTCTTTTGTCCGTTTGTTTGCTTTCTTGGCGCATGCCACGGGGAATAAGTTTTCGATCGCGGTTCTAACCAATGTTCCAATCCTTCTCGGAGCTTGTTGCGGACAGTTTGGGAGTGATCCGATGTGAGCCGGACTTTGCGGGGTGGCCGGAAATTTTGAGGTTGGTTGGTGTGGAAGATGTTGTGTGGGCAAAGTCCAGCATGTGCAAAGGTTTGGCAACACGCGAGATGAAATTGCAGATATCGTCCGCGCCTGGAGTCTGCGTGCTTGGATAGCAAACTCAGCAATGTAGATTGCCAAATGCTTTTAATTCTTGGCTGTGGCATCTGCTGTAGCGGAGCGGACTGATGAACTTGCCGTTCTCATTGGAGACAAAGTCAGTGAGCCAAGGCGAGTCCATCTTGAAAGCTGGTATACCGGCGATAATGTTTTCGATGCAGGGCTGGCTGTTGCAGGTCGGCCTTGGTCTTAGGGACTCAGAGCATCAGAGCACCAAGCGGCGTTGGCACGTGGCAACTTCGACTGCTAGACTTGTCCGAAGCAGTGGACTGAGGCCAAGCGCATGTCGATTCTCTCAGCTTCAATCTTCTCAACCAGACGAAGACCCTGTCAGCAGCGCTGATGTGTTACTTGCTTCTAGGCCTACGAGCTTGCAGACTGCTTATGAACTTTCGGCTTGTACTGGCTTGAAACACCTGGTGCACTGACCCTGAAGGCAGGCGACAGTCCCGAATTCAGTGCTTCGCTTTGGTGCTTCTCTTTGTCTCGGCACTGCTGCTGGGAACGAAGGGATGTTCCAGCTTCAAGAAGCACTCTGCAAGGCAGCCGCCATTTCGCAGAGAGTTCCGGTAAACATGAGCCAGAGCTTTGGTAGCTTCGTGAGCCTTGCAGGGACGGCAGCGCCAGCGATGCCTTCGTCTTTGGAGTTCTTCCCGTGGTCGTTGCAGCTTTGAGCTCTGGGCTGACAGCTGCTATGACACAAAGGACGCTTAAGGGCTCCGCTGGGCGGACTCTTGGCTGCACCGGTTTGGAAGACTTGCCGTGTATTGCAAGTAATCACATCTGCAGCAAGGAACAGCTGGCTCTATTCCATGGAGCTTTCGATGTGCCTTATCTGAGAAAGCTTCGAGACACCGCTGCAGAGTTCCAGACGTCTCTCGAGTGCAGGTGGGGCTCAGCCTGCCTGATCGCAGGTGCCAGGGGAGAGGGCGGTTCTTTCAGAGCAGTCCAGGCTCAGCTTGAGACCAATAATGACATCCACAACAGTCGGCCATTCACATACATAGTCGCCCTCGCTGCCTTTTACCGTCATGTTAAGCTGGCTTCGTTCCCTGGTGTCGCTCGCCGACAAGACTTCTGAGATCGTGTCTGTTGCAGATACATCCCGAACCTCGCATTTCTTCAACCTGCGTGGGATTTTGCTTCTTTTACCGTGGTTGCGAGACTGCCCAGGCGCAAGTAATTCCCAAGACGTCTTGATGAACTCTTGTGTGGTTTCCCTGTGCAACGTAACGAAAACGCCGCAGTACTGAAGGCGTCTGCATAAGCGACAAGCGTGGGCGGCTTCTGCAAGGACCCTACCAGGCCTGAGCTGGAGTCTAGTCGCGACATGTCACGGCTCGGCTCCTGGTCAGGGCTGGTCTGCGCTGAGTGTCGTGCCCGTCCTAACGCAGGTGCTGCACTGAACCATGCAGTAGAAGAGAGAAGCACGGCCATTGGATCCGAAGGCCGTGGGAGGCATACTCGTCGGACTGGTCACAAAGTCGAGTTCTTGGCATTAGGGTTTGTTGCTGTTTTGGGAGCTCGACTCATCCATGCCTCAGAGGGTGTTTCCTTAGGTACTCTGACTCGGTGAAGAAAGGCTTTGCGCTTGTCTCTGGCATCGTGCTGAGGCTGCACTAGGCTGTCAGTTTTCGGTGAGTCTACTTCTGCTGTCAATCCAGCCCGCAATGCCTATGAACCACTGAAGTAGCTTCGCACTGGCTGTGGGCCAGCTTGTTCGGGCTGTTTGCAGAGTATCAGTTTGCATTTTTATTGAAGAGAGAGCGAGAGAGCGAGAGAGAGAGAGAGAGAGACAGCCAAACCGACAAACTTTGTTTTCTAATGCCTCGGTCAGTGAGACCCCAAAGCCGACCACTCAATAGTAAAAGGGGTGGTCGGGCGGGCCAAAGGCCTGAGGGTCCCGCAAACGGACCCCTACGCCCGGCAGAAAGAAAGAAAGAAAGACAGCCAAACCAGACTCGGACACTGGCGTAGCGCTTGCGCGCAGGGGTTGGGGAACTTGCGTCCCCCTCCCAAACGCCCAGCAAGCAAGAGAGAGAGTGAGACTGCAAGGGGGGCTTGACCTGGACTCCGTTTTTCTTACAGCTGTTATATCAACTGAAGATTCCGGGAAGCTGCCCCGAGGGGAAGGACCTGGTTCCTCGAGCGACAATGAACACGCATGTGCGCGGGCGGGGGGAGTGTGCTTACGGAGATGCTCCTCTATGGCCGTAAGCAAGCATGTGCGACAGGGCACACATGTGCCAAGCTTAGCAATGACGAGGCTGGGGGGTTGACTAGTGTTCAGCGCATTTGGGGGGGTCAAGAGCTCACGAGCTCCAGTCTCATCATTTGGTGCAGTCTTACCAGCGACTAAGACCAGGGCGCGTGCGCGCTCAGGGAGGGTAGAGCGTGCTCTGCTCTCCTTTGGCTGTACAGAAGAAGACGCTTGTGTTGTATGTCACTTCTGGTTGCGCTTCCCTCGCTTTCGGTTCTCGCATCTTTCTGGCCTTTTATCGAAGGATCGGTTTCTCGTTTGGTGCCGCGAAGGTGATTAAGCTTTGCTTGACTGGTTTGCTTCGCGAGCGTTCCCCCAGCTAGGCTTGGTTGCCGGACAAGCAGGCAAGAAGCAAGGACGCGGGAGCTAAACACAAAAGCGAGAGGACGAAGGAAGGCAATCAAGGACACACACGCATGGCAGTTCCTCGGATCATAAAATCCTCCGAGTCTGCCAAGATCGACTGAGGCGGTGTACTGCAATCACAGAACCCTCAAACTACATAGCCCTGCTCGGTGCGAACACAGTCGGTGCTAGGCTGGTGCAGGTTTGACAAAGACAAAACTAAGAGCAAAAGCCAGAACAAGAGACCAGAAAGATCCCAACAAACCTTCGCTCAAAAGTAGGGCTTTTGCAGCGTCTTCTTTAATTGAGGGCTTATCCTTGCAAAGCCTCGAAAACAGTGAGTCTCTGACTCGCTGATGAAGACATGGCTTTGACTAGCTACGCCTATAGCTACAGCCGTTTTCAATGGCCCCTGTTACCAGCTGAAAGCCTTGTGCAACACATGTCCAACCCACAAGAAGTGCTTGAACTGACCTCAAGACTTCCACAAGCGGCAGCGCCCTGCCCAAAACATCACAACTCCACGCGAGCTTCGACCTGACGCCCCCGAAGTCATTCTCCGCTGGCTGTTCGTCGTGCTCTCAAACCTGATTTTCGCGGGTTCAAAACTGGGCTTGAAACACATTGGGGAACGGATATAGATTAAAGCGTTGCTTTCGCTATCAGCTTTGCCGTGTTGCTAGTCAAAAAAATAAGAAATGGCAGACTGGGTTCTGGTCGCCTCGTTTGATTGAGAAGGTATTCGTCGACGTTGTGAGAGTGCGCTTCTGCAGTTCATCTGGGCCCAAAGCTCGCCATCCCTGCTCTGCCGTTGAAGTCTGCGCACCCCAAGCTTGCCATCCCTGTGCTCTGCCGTTGAAGTCTGCGCACCCCAAGCTT